ATAATTATCAAGAGCTAGACGTGCAGAATAATGTAGTGGAATTGATAGAGCCCTTAGTCTGGCGTTACACATATAGAACAGTACACGAATTTGTTGTGGAGAAATCAGTTAGAGATGTGCCTCTAATTATAAACTCAAGTTATAATTTAACGACAAGCTTGGTCATTCATTCTAGTGCATTTTGTCGAGCTCATTCAGGACTGCTCCCTAACGAACGTTCTTGCAGATTCTCGAAATCCAAATTTGACTGAAAATCATGTCAGAAGTGGTAAGTCCAGCCATTTCAGGACAATGGACACAATTCTGGAGCACATCGTATGGATCGGCTTCTGTGCAGCCCATGAGACGTTCTGCTCATAGTACCATCGTCTTTGAAGATAATTTGTATGTTTTTGGAGGTATTAGTACCAATGCAGCTAATGAAGATATCGAACATAACGATACGTGGGTGTTCGACCTTGTCAATAGACAATGGGCCGAGGTTCTAGTTGGAGAAAATCGACCTACGAGTCGTTTTCACCATGCTGGACTTTTGCATACAAACTCTGCTGTGAGCGAATTCATCATATTTGGAGGACTTTCACTTTTGGTTGCGGAGACAGATGATGCCACGATTAGGAGTAGCGTTCCAGCAGTGCAGTATAATGATGTCTGGCGGTTGCGATTGACGGAAGACACCCCAAAATGGATTATGGATCCAAGCAAACTTCGCCCTTCTCTTCTTCCCATGCTGGAAAAGGATTATCGCTGTCGACATCCTCCGAATCCTCGACGAGGGGTTTCTTCGCCCTCGGCGGGTGGTGTGCGGTACCCGGTTGCCGAGGGCATGAAATGCGGTTCCCTTGAGGCCGCGGACGTACTGACTGGAGTTGCATCGCGTGCAGAAGACGGAGAAGGGCTCTGCCCGCGGAGCTCTCGGAACCAGCGAGGTGGGGTCATAGACACATGGCTCTTTGAGCCGAGAATGCGTGAAGAAGGACCTGGGGACTTAAACACGCGAGCTTTGTACGAGAGGACAGTTAAATGTTTATTGTGGGTATTCACAGTTTGATGGGGGAGATTGTAACGGGGTTACATGTACCCTGCTATGAAAGGGTGAGTCATACAAGATGGTGCGATCATACAAAGGTGTGGATTACACCGTAACAAGAAGCCACTACGTGGCGGGACTGCCAGTAGTCATGCATATTAATTATGTCTTATTATTTAATTCGGAGAATCTAAGGTCATGGACATTGGCGAGTTTGCCACAAACAAGTTTAAATTTTGAGCTGAAGAGTATATTTGCTTTGGGTAAAAGGTTGTGGGAGCTCTTGAAGTTTGCGGATTGCGATCTGCTACACTCATACCGGCTCTAGTATAGAACATAAGGCCATAGCTTAGCACCCTCTCAGCAAAGAGTTATGGCAGTCCCCATGAACGGAAAGTATTTGTGCAAGCTGCACTTGTTCGGACATCCTGGTAAGCCATACCGATTCCGAAAGAAAATTAACAACCATCTCGGCTATCGAGGATTTCGACTGCTGGGTAGTCTGCACTTTCCTTTTGTAATGACTGATGGACAAGGATATAGTTTGCGCAGAACGCCTGATTTGGCGGTGCAAATATTCGCGACATCTGTTGCCGAGCCTGTCCATGATAGAGGTACCTTATTTAAATAGGTACTGTCCATCAGCTGTTTACGCGCGACCATTGAGCCTGGTGATCGGTAGCGCAATGTGCTGAAGCTAGTGCTGAGCAGGACTACATCTGTAGTCATCTTAACTTTACGTCTCTAAATTCCTTTCCCTTCTATGCCTCAAGTGATCAACGCTTCACGAAAGCAGCTTTTGTCTATAGAACTTTAAGGCGGTCAGTTGCGCTTCCACCGACATCTGATTAAGACGTTTGTAGCATCAGGCGCACGTTTATCATTTCTGCTCCCCTCTCAGGCCCAATCAAATCCCGAGGTTTGTTAAGTGTGTCTTGTTGTTTCGAGTGCAGATCGTAAACATACCGGATTCGATTCTTACACAGGATACATAGTTATTTACTCTCGGTCATGAGACTGTCGATGAGTGCAATCAAGTGCACAGAGCTTGTCTTTATTCTTATGACTGTGTTAAGCCAACACACGAAGGATTGCTCACTGGCCGCCTTGATCTCAAATTGAGCGCCTCTTAAGTACGTATTACTTTACACAACTTGCTTAAACTAATACAGTCTGACTTATGATTTGATTCTCGATTACTATGGATACATATAATTCGCATACCGCAGTTAGCAGCTAACACTTCCCGCTGACCTACTCTTAACGTGACACCGCCATTATCATACATGCGTAAAATCAATCATAAGACTTCCTCATGATACTTCAATGTTTGATTCCTGCGCTTTCCCTAAACTCCTAGAGATTTAAGCTACCGGAAACCATACACCAGGCTTAACGTTCTCTAGCGCGGGATGCTGGTAGCTATTCAACTTATTTTGGGACCGGGTTCCGTACCTCATTACACTATGGGGCATTTACGGGCAGTAGGAAGTCCTCCCACCCAACTATCGCACACACCCAATATGGTGCAGGCTGGCAGGGCGGTCACGCCACAGGGGTGTGACTGCTCGTCCACGTTAGTGACCTATTTCCGGCGCCCTTGATCCGGTTCTTATGGGTATCGAGCCAGGAACCTCCCGGTCCCAGGCCAAGCTACAAACCACTTGAGCCATAGATCGGTTATTTTCTTAATTTACCGTATCGTTGGTTTACGTACGTTGGTTTACGTACGCAAATAGCAGTATTTCAGTTGCATGAGTTTAAAAAGCTTGATTCCTGAAATGGGAGCAGAGAAGGGGATGAGGGGGTGTTAATGTTGAAAATCCTTGCTGTACAGTTTCGATTTGGATAAGTACGATCGCTTAAAATTTGCGGGTATTCCTGTTTCAGAAATGGGTCCACGATCACGTCGCCATCGGAGTTTGTCTTCTCAACGCAGCCGCAGCCGTAGCAGGAAACGTAGTCGTAGCCAACACCGTAGCCACAATGTAAAAATTGAATCAAGCAATCGGAGCAGCCTTAGAAATGGACAGCGACCCCCATCGCGGTCCCAATCGCTGCACCGTGGTCGTCCGAGATCGCCTAGTTTAAACAGATCCAGGCAGTCTAAGAAATTTTATGATTGTGTCAGTGGTCCCGGTGACACAATCAAAGAAAGAAGGAGATACCGATCCAGCGATCAGACCGACGACTTTTTTGAGCAGAGAAAGAAAAAGCGAGAGGATATTCATTTTAGTATATGGGCAAGTATTCCTAGCCCCCCGCCAATGAAAACAAAATCAAAAAAAGGATTGATAGAAGCTCTGACGCCGTCTCCATCCCATTCTAAATCTCGGTCATTTTCTAGGTCGCCATCTGGGTCGTGGTCTGAATCAAGCTCGTCTATTTCTGAAAGCGAGGAATTGCGACATAGCAGAAGCAAGAGGTCTAAATCAAAAGTCTTACCCCGTGGTAAAAGGAAAAAAAATATCAAGAAGAGCAAAAAAAACAAGAAGCACAAGAAAGAGAGAAGGTGTGGACGCAAAGACCATCGGCGTTCCGACGACAGCTACAGCTGCAACGACAATGAGTCCGACCAGTCGGCGGCTTCAGAGCTGACGAAAGAGAATATAGCTGACGAGGAAAATCGAGACCTCAATGATGAGAAGGAAGCGGACCGGTTTAAAGTGGCGGTCCAAGGGTCGCGAAAGGACAATGAGGACGACAATGAGATAGGACCAAAGCCTTTGGTAGCCGCAGGAGACGAGACTATTTCTCTTTCGGCACATTATGGCAAAGCTTTGCTACCCGGTGAAGGCGCAGCTATTGCTCAGTTTGTGCAGAAGAACATGCGCATCCCGCGTCGCGGAGAAGTTGGCTGGAACGGTGAGGAAATCGAAAATTTGGAAAATTTAGGCTACGTAATGAGCGGAAGTCGTCATAAGCGCATGAATGCGGTTCGAATCCGGAAGGAAAATCAAGTCTACACAGCAGAAGAAAAGCGAGCCCTTGCGCTTATTAATTTTGAGGAGAAGCAGCAGCGCGAAAATGCAATTATGAATGATTTTAAGGAGATGCTTACCGCGCGGCTTACAAAAAAGCACGGTTCTCGCCTTGTAGAAGACATGGAATCATCAGCGAAAGACTGAAGAGCTTAATTAGGTGTGAAGTGGTACGAACAATCGAGCAATATGGAAAGTATCACGTCAGCGATAATACTGTATATGGATAGACAAGTAATAGTTTGCTTGAATATTAATTACAATGATTAGGTGCATGTTCGATTGTTCTCAACCAGAAAAGTGATGGAGCGATACAATTGACAGCCGATTTTTCATGACGCGCCGTATGTAGTATGGTGTTATCAATGTCTCTGAATACGTCATGTACACTTGGGTCTTAATCTATCTAGAATTGTAACAACAATTGAAGTGCTCAACCTATTCAAACACGTCGGCTCCAACAAGGCTGTGGGACTCAGATGTAATATATATTCTGAATCAATTTGACAGACAAGTATAACTCGCAATAGAACCTTCATCGTGTGTCTGTGTAATTAAAGTTACTCAGTGCAATTGAACAAGTTTCTCTTCGAGGAGTTATTCACGTCCGTACCATCCAGCATTCCGTCTCATAAACTTTTGCTGGATTTTGCTGATCAGCAAAACGACATCACTCATACCGCTGACAGTTTCAAAAAGCATCAATCAATTTGATAATTCTGAGTTACTAAGAAGACTCAAAGCACGTCGACCAATGTGAATTGGTCATCACAATACGCAAGCTGTTTGGAGTTTGAAAGTCGCTGAATCATTCGGCATAGCTATGCCGAAAGCGGTTCATAAATTTGCTCTGGTAAAACTAACCAACTTTATCTAATTAGCCACATTTTTCATCGGTCGCTACACCATTGAAACGCTGCCGATTAAATAGACTATAACTTGTCGCGATGTTAGTATCGTCATCATTAGTTCCGACGGCAGTCATTTGCATCTCTTCAATTGTACAATCCATTGCTTGTAACTCAGTATCGGTTAAACCACTAGATACCATAAATGGCGTGCAGTATTACAAGAATGGATTTTGCTATTCTTTGCTGATATTTCTCATTTCGGAACTACTGTTTGGAGCCGATCAACTATGCTGTCGCCGCTTGATATCGAGCGGCGTAAGAGTCAGATTTCATCAAGAGAGCTGGCTTACTTTCTGCACCAGAGCAAAAGCAATGTGGAGAAACTTGAACGGCTGGAGAAGTTACTTGTCCAAGACCCCTTACTCAATCACGAAAAAATGTACTACATGACACGTGGGGAACAGTACAAACGCGCTACACAGATGGCTCGACAAGCTGTATTAATTGCTCACCGCAACAACCTTGATGATCAAGACACGGCGCTGCTTCATTTGGTGCTGCAGGGCTTCACGGGTTGTCCATCATCGACTGCTTTGCACACTGGAATGTTTCTGAATAATTTGGGGCTGCTATTCACAGATGAGCAACAATCACGCTGGATGGAAATGGCTAAGCAGTGGCGCATGGTCGGCTGCTATGTCCAGACAGAGCTGGGCCACGGCTCCAATGTGCGTGGCCTTGAGACGACGGCGTCGTACATTCCCGCTGATGACGAGTTTGAGATCCACTCACCAACGGTTACTTCCATGAAGTGGTGGCCTGGCGCATTGGCTCGCACTGCCAACTTTGGAGTGGTCTATGCTAGGCTACTTCTCGGCGGCAAGGACTATGGCGTTCACAACTTCATGGTGCAGCTGCGTGATCTGGAAACGCACGACGTGATGCCCGGCGTGACGCTAGGTGACATTGGTCCGAAGATCGGGTTTAACAACGTGGATAATGGATATTGTGCATTCAACCGCGTCCGCATCCCGCGTTCGAACATGGGTATGCGGTTTGCGACGGTGACATCGGAGGGCAAGTACACCAAGAACGTGGGTATTCCCAAAGAAGTGATTTACTTTACGATGCTTCAAACGCGTATGGTGTACGTCCGCTCAAGTGGATTAGCATTAGCGAAAGCCTGCACTATTTCCATACGCTACTCTGGAGTGCGCCGACAAGGTTACGATGCCCGAAACCCAGAATCCACCGAAGAGGTCTGCGTATTGGATTACCAAACGCAACAGTATCGGTTGTTTCCACTGCTAGCAGCTGCATATGCCATCATACTATCAGGTAAGCTGCGTCTTTTCTACTTTGTGATCATTTATCGCATCGGGTCAAAAGAGCTTTACGTGTATAGGAAATCACGTTGACACAATTGCGTCGCAATTGGCAGATCAAGTAAAAAACGGCGACTTGAGTATGCTAGTTGAAGGTCATACAATAAGTTGCGGTCTTAAGGTGGTAGCGTCGGAAATGGCTAGCAATGGTATCGAGACATGCCGCAGGGTATGTACATTTTTTGCAAGTGTCACTTATACATTTAATATCATATTGCTTTGCGCTACAAGGCTTGCGGTGGACACGGATACCTCCTCTCAAGCGGTATGCTGGCACCAGCAAATGGTTCTAGAAGGGCATTTATTCATGTTTGGTGTAACTCTTTCAGGTCTACCCGTTCTTTTAGGCGACGTCGTTCAGATGGTGACTGCTGAGGGCGAAAACTTTGTTCTCTGTCAGCAGGTCTACAAGTTAGAATAACATAGCAATCTTTGTAGCGTTTACTCATTGATATTATGCTATGCAGACGGCGCGTGCGCTCTTAAAAATTCATGGTCAATATCAATCAGGCGGGCAACTTCCCACGGCAATGCAATTTATTGCACAGATTGATACACTCTGTCGATCTCAGCCCCGCAGCAAAGATCAGTGGCTTGAGCTCGATACGTACGTCGAGACTTTCCAGCAGCGCTTTCTGTATCTTTTACGTAGCCTTACCATCAAGGCATCGATGGATTCATCTATCGCTGCAGTGTTGCAGAACAATTCGGTACAGTGCGTCGAGTTGTCTAACGCGTATACCTACCTCATATTGGTTAACAATTTTGTGGAAGCTGTTCGCGCTGCACCGTCCGAGATTCGGCTGGTTTTACAGCTACTTTGCAAGTTGTTTGCTCTTACGCAATTGGATGCCACTGCCTCGCAATTTATTGAGTCTGGTTGTATCTTTTCCAGCGACATGACAACTATTCGCGCCAGTATGGTGGAGCTTCTTGATCTTATCCGCCCGCACGCCGTGACGCTTGTGGATGGGTTTAATTTCTCGGACCACGCGTTAAATTCTACGCTTGGGCGCTATGACGGCAACGTATATGAGGCTTTGTACAAGTCTGCTCAACACGATCCTTTTAATCCCTCTTCAGATAAGGTTGCCTTGCATGAGTTGTTACGACCGATCCGCGAAGAAATTGCTTGTAGATCTACAGTCAAATCACGTTTGTAGGCGGTGACACCAATTTGCGTCGAGAATGTGGAGCATATGTGCTGTATTTTGAAGTGCGCAACAAACAACTCGAAGTGATTGTCAATAAATTCTGTTTGAATCGACTTCGCACGAATACCACATTTGATAGATAGTGAGCCAAATAATCGATCAGGCTTCAATGCTGTCGTATTCGGCATCTTACCTAATAGGCGATTGGCAAGTATCTTTTAAACTTTGGTGCGGAGGACCCGTACATTGCATGAGCATACATAATTTTTAAGATGCCTTAGGTTGACTTGGAAATTCACACTAGAAATGTTATTGTTGATCAGATAGAAAACGTTGCATTGACACCACTAAGTGCCCAGCTTGGAAATGAAGTACACAATAAGTTTGCAACAGTTACTTTAATTAAAATCCAGCAAATCTTCTATTGTGTCACGAGCCTTCTTAGTCGGTCTCTTTAAATAGTTAGATTGTGGATACATCAGGTTGTTAAAGACACTGATGAGTCCACTTTCTTCCAGAGCTTTTTCACAAGGAGTAGACACCACATTAGAGCTTGAAGAATCTTTCAGGTCGTCGGAGGCACTTCCCAAGTGGGGTAAGTAGCGCGGCAACGTTTGATAGGAGAGCAATACCTGCTGAGATACTGGCTGAACCATCGCAATGCCGACTCCTGCAAAGACTCCCGTGTTTGTCGATGTTACATAATCTCTTCCGTGCAGACTCTTCGTTTTACTAATTCCACAACTTGCAGGCTTTGGGAGATATTTGCTAGGTCTCTTGCGGTGTTTGCGGCGCCCACTATTTAGACTCACATCTCCATATTCGTCATCTTTTGGAGCGGTACATTCATATTGTTGTCTCGATACTGCAAGTGAGACACCAGATACATCTTCTACTGAGTCCGTTATCTTTCGCAACGTGGTGCTATTTGTTAAGTGGCCGCTGGCCCCCTTTTCATCTTTTTGTCGGCGCTTGCTCCCTGACCGCCTTTTCTCTTTTGCAAGCGACGAATTTTTTTCTTCCCCCTTTACAGTACCGTGATTCAATGTTCGGTACTTGCTTCGAGCACTTCCATACGAACTAGATTGCCGACGAGTTGCGTGGTCATCCTCTGCTGATGTAAAATCTTCCAATTGCTGTTTTTCGCTCAGATTAAGAAGTTTCACAGGCTTATTTTCTGCACCTATTACCACTGTATTTGAAGAGTTAGTAGCATCTATGGATTTGGACAGCGAAAGTCCTTCAAAATACGGGTGATTGAGGCACTCCTCACTTGTCAATCGATCTTCAGGGCAAAGCTGAATCACCCCCTCAAGAAAATTGGCGGCATTCTTTGACAAGCGGCCGCTATATCGTAAATACAAAGTCTGAGTTGCTTTGACTTCAGGAATTTTTAGACCAGAAAAGCGAGGATTTGTCGCAAAAAGTTCCATGTGATGTTTCTGTAGTGGACCAAGCATCTTTTGTATCAAGTAAAGCTGATCGATTTCACTCTCCCCAGGAAACATCGGTTGACCCTCGATGAGTTCACCCATGATGCATCCAATAGCCCATATATCCACAGCGGTAGAGTACCTAGTATCCCCCAACAGTAGCTCTGGAGCTCGATACCATCGTGTCGCGACGTACTCGGTCAAGACACCGTTACCAGGAAGTATTCGTGCGAAGCCAAAATCGCACAAACGTAGAGAGTGCTCGCTATCAGATGTATTGACAAGCAAATTTTCTGGCTTGATGTCTCGATGTACGACACGATTTTTGTGGCAGTAATGGATTGCACAACAGAGTTGAAAAATATATGAGCGTACAAGGTAGCTATCAGTGCCATTGGGCTTGTCTTCTAGTACTTCCAGCAAATTCTTCTCAACATACTCAAACACAAGGTACAGCCGACCCTTTCGACGAAACGCTTCCTTCAACGCAACTATATTTTTGTGCTTTAGAAAACGCAGCATCTTTAGTTCACGCAGTGTTGTCTTGCGCACCACAAGGTCATCATTCTCGTTTTCTTTAAACTTCTTGATCGCCACCGTCTCATTAGTCTCTTTATTCCGACATTTGAGCACAACACCATAAGCACCTTCTCCAACCACACCAAGCACTTCATATTTGTTCATCACTTCACGAATCTAGGCAAGCATTTCCAGTTGCAGTATCTTTTTTCGACCAGTACACTATATATCATTATATTACGAGGCGACGGCATGGTCCGTTTCAGACTAACCCGATTTAGATCAATTAAGCTGAATCCGATTAAATGCTAACGAAAAACTATGAACAGCTCCATGAACAAACAGCAATTTTACATAACGTTCGTATTTTTGTCTTAATTCGAAACAGTCTTCTGCCTTTTTGACTTTTTTTGCCATGACCCCGTACCTTGACGCTTCGCGTCTCGCCGAGCAGTCGTACACCCTGGCGTAATCACGTTCAAGAAACTATCCATCGACTCCTTCCAATTCTGAAGATCACATGCGTTAAAGTGCTCCCAAACGTGCCTAAACATACTACCGTAAGCATCGTCTGGATCCTGTGGGGGTCGAGGCCTAGGGTTCGGCGGAGGTCCAGGAGCCTTCAGCGGGTCCACAAGGATTCCTTTACTCCTTCGCTCCTGGCGCTCGATGACGTTTTCGAGCTGGAAGATCGTCGAATTCGCTCTGATCTTACTGTCTAACCCACCAACAGACGTTTTGATGTGATGTCCATCTTCTAGCATTGCTGCAAACTGCAGGTCGTAACTAGGATTTCCAGTCATAGAATTTGCTTTGACCGAAAGACGAATCTGACGAGTTGGATGCGTTGAGTTTGCTGTAGTAATCTGGTGAACAAGAGCTGCCGTTTCGCTTGACAGATTTTCGGTAAGTCCTGCTACGTCAGCTTCTGTCGTGCCGGTTAATACGAAAGATGGTATATCGATGGCACTTCGAATCCATTGGGACAACTTTTTGTCTTCTATCTTATTTAAGCGGTTTGGCTGCGTAGATACAAACTCATGTTGAATCAAAGCTGCTAACTTGTTTTTAAGCATTTCTTCTTTTTCCACAAGCGATGTAAATCTGTTAGTTGGATCAGAAGGTACGAAGGGATGTTGTTGCTCAAAAAGGCACCAATTTAAACCCATTATACATTCTCTTGTGAATGCCTGAGCACTTGCTTCCGTTAAAGGACACAACGCTCGTTGATGAATAGCAGTGTCTTTGATAAGCTGTGTCATATACTCTTCTATAACGATACTGGCCGCAACAGCAGCCGTGTCGTCAAACGTGCCTATGAGTTCCCCAATGTTCACTGATTTAACGCTTGCCACGTACACCAAATAGTCCACTAATTCCTATCGTACGTAAACAGATAAGCGCTACATTCTATCAAGTCTTTGCTTTCATTGTGCGCACGTACATCAGGTGGCATTGTATCGTTTCGATCTGCACACACCCAAATCATGTCAAACAATTTTTACTTAACATCCACCATTGGCTCAGCATCAAAAATTCGATCAAAGTAAACTTACCTAACTCAAATGCTATGTTCTCTAATCCCCGGCAAATTTCACCTTGCATCGCATCGCTGTTTAGCTACAATATGTAATTTGATTATACAAGTGATTGATGAAATCAATCTATTAGACATATAAAACTTACAGCAGCGTTTCCATTACGGCTAATTCGTCCATTTCGCGGCTCGATACTCTCCAGCAACGAGCAACCTTCCGAACGAAACAATGGATGATACGATGCTGGACAGTATTCAGTATCCAACAGCCGTCTAGTCATTGTCCGCGGAATGACACTTGAAGTGCTGGGTTGGAACACTTCAGAGCATGGTCCATCATCCACCCCATCGTCATAATCGCTTTCCAGTCCTTCGTCACCGAGAAGATTAATGACTTTCTTATCTCGATATAAGTTATCACTCGATGGAAATCCTATGGCTCTTTTCATTCGGCGTACACGCTCAATTTGTCTCACTACGTCCGCTTGCTTTTTCCGTGTAGCATCAGCTCCTCCATGTCGATGAGCAAGCAAAAAGCAACTGCAAACATTGTCCTCTTCTTTTGTCGTTAATTCGCTAACAGAATCTGGGCGCCTTTTTTGCCACAAAAGTCGCTGATGTAAGACACAGCGACAATGACTGATACCATGTGGCTGCCGGCAGCCATGACAGAGCTTGCAACGTGCGGTAGGATCCATTAGTGAGCAATTACATGCTCGGGACTCCTGACATACAGCACGACGTAGACGGCCAGTCAATCCGCAGACACAGTGCAACTCCATGCATTTATGGCAAGATGCGCACGCCTCGGAGCTAGAGCATCTGCAAAAAGGATGTGCTTGTGGATCTGGCTGACGGCCAATGGGCAAACTTAGTTGCGAAGTGGTCTCTTCTAATTCTATGCTATTTTTTCTGATGTATTTGGCTAAATAGGCCATGCGCTCTTCACCCGGTTTCTTCGCAAGAAATTCCTCTCGATTCATACCCTTGGGCCAGGTAAAGTTTTGTGGTATAGACCATTTTGGCTTCATATTTCTTGTCTTTTTCATATCTACTGCAGCATTATTTGCATTTGTCCTCATGTACTGCTTTTCCGGCACTCTTCTACGGTCCTTGGGTCCACCATAGACTTCATCAACGTTTTTTTGGTCGCTGATATGCTCAAGGCAAGGAGCAGTTGTTGTTGCGGTGGTGGTGGTTGGAATCTGAAGTCCATATTTACTGGCAAAGCTCATTAAATAAGCCTTGCGCTCTTTGCCTCGCTTCAACGCAATGTATTCTTTGTAATTAAATTCCTTCGGCCAGGCTGTGTGGCTTTTTGATTGCGCTAAGACATCAGATGAAGCAAATTCCGCATTATTTGGAGCTGCATTCGCAATGTGTAGTGCCTCCTTTTCCTTCTCCTCTTCCTCCTCTGGCACATCTGTCACCATTCGTAAACTAAAGCTTTGGCGTTAAAAATGTTACAGAAATTAAAAGCTAGAAATTTGAGACACCTAATAAGCTGAAGAAAAACACAGCACATGGAGAACGTGAAGCGAGGTAAGCTGAAGCTTAAAAGAGGGGGGAAAATCAAATTGGCATCCAAACGCAAGCAGAAAAAGCAAAGGGAAAAGGATTTAAAGCGATGCGATGTAGAAAAACATACTATCGAGCTGCAAACAAGAGCTGGCGTGGAAGTGGATGACATGACTCCGGCTCAACGTCGACACGCCGAACACAAAAAGAAGAGGGTGTGCAATGTGAAATTTGGTAACATTTGTCTAACAGTGCTAATCGAATTTTGTGTGTCAATCGAAGGAACAAGAGGAGATTGAAAAGATGGCGTCGAAGACGTACAGAGAGCGCATTGAAGAGCTTAATCAGCACCTCGGAAGTCTCACAGAACACCACGACGTGCCCCGAGTCTCGGCTGCTGGCAATGGCTAATGTGCTTTGGTGGAGCACCAAGAAGAGCTTTGTGCTACAATTTAAGCGAATGGCTTCACAGGGCATAATATTACCTTGATATACTTGAACCTTAACAGCTCATCAACTTGATATCGCTCTGTTAAGTAACAGAAATCTTGTAAACACATTTGCCAGTGTCATGGTCTTCTCTGATGTAATAGACTAGATAAAGTGCTCATTCTGTGACGGAAATTTGAAGACTTATTCGAGGTCCGTCACCTGTTACACAATACTTTTCAAGACTTCATCATGATTATGGAGTGGCGTACGTTGGTCGGTGAAATTAATTGTAACGGAGTTACACGTTCCCTGGTAACAAGAGTGTGTGTCACACGAGATGTACATAGTGTGACTACACCCAAACAAGAATACGGTATGTGGCTAGGTAGCCAGTAGTTATGCATGTATTTAGACTTTACTATATTATTTAGAAAAATCTAAACATTTAAAATTAGGCGGTTTTGCAGATTTAAATAAGAGAGAATAAAAAAAATGCCCCAACTTTTGCCTTATATAAAAAAAATATCCCAACTTTTCAAAAAATAAAAAAAATACCCCAGCACGTAAA